CTTCCTTCCTTCCTTCCTTCCTTCCTTCCTTCCTTCCTTCCTTCCTTCCTTCCTTCCTTCCATGGCCCTGGGTTTCTTTTTCTTTCTTTCTTCTTTCCTTCCTAGTGGCCTTTCTAACTTTCTTTTTCTTCTTTTCTTTCTTCTCTTCCCTTTTCTTTTCTTTGGTGTTCCTTGGGGTTGAGCTCAGAGCCTTGTGCTTACTAAGCAGGTGCTCTATTATGGAGCTACACCTCCAGCCCTTTTTTCTTTTTTTCTGGTGCTAGTTGTTTTGAAAGATAGGGTTTTGTTTCCTGTTCAGGCACATGCCTGGACTATGATCCACTTATTTTAAGCTTCTTGTTGCTGAGGTGACAAGCACATGCCACAATGTCCAACGTCCCTCTATCGAGGAGGAGTCTCATGAGCTTTCCTGCCTGGGCTGATGTGGAACCATGATCCCCTTAATCTGGGCCTCCCCCCCCCACTACACACACACCTTGTAGCTTAGGATGACAGGCTTGAGTCACTGTACTCAGCTTTGGTCTAAGAAGGGATTTCCTAAGCTTTTCTGCCTAGATTAGCCTCAAACCATGATTTTCCCAGTCTCAGCCCAGTCTCAGTCCTAGCTCCTTGCTAGGAGTACAGGCATGAATCACCAATGCCTGACATCTTACTTTTTGAATCATTCATTTTCTAAATGATCTCCAAGCTACTATTCCAGCCTTTGAACAAGTCATTTTACCTGACTCTGAGTTATAAACTATAAAATGAGGTAAAAATAAATATCTAGCTTTGTGGACTATTCTGTGCAGGGTGTGTGTGTGTGTGTGTGTGTGTGTGTGTGTGTGTGTGTGTATGTGTGTAATGAAATAGAATAGAGTCTATTCTGTTGCTGTGGCACAGAAAATCCTAGCTGGCTCAGGATTAGTGTAGGCATTGTTATTGACAGGGTTGCAAAACAAATCCATTATTGAGACTAAAGATCTACTTGCAGGCCATTTACATTTGCCCTTGTTACTCTGCTCTTACTTGCTGGCTCATTGTCCTGCTCAGGTTGGTTTTGTTTTTGTTGTTTTGTTTTGTTTTTATGCCATTACTAGGACTTGAACTCGGGGCTTGGACCCTTAGTTTTTTCTCCAAAAGCTGGCACTATTACAGCTCCACTTCTGGCTTTTTGGTGTTTAATTGGATGTAAGAGTCTCATGAACTTCCAGATTCAGTCAGGCCTTTGAACTGGATTCATCAAATCTCAGCCTCCTGATGTAGCTAGGATTATAGGTATGAGCCCTCAGTGCCTGGCAAGAAAGCAGTTTCATACAAAAGAAAATATTTGGTTTTCTGAGTTCTACCGTGACACCCTGCCCGATAGCAGACTACGGGAACCACCATGTCTGTTATCCTTAAGTGACACTCACCCCTGGTTCTCTCCACAGGTGCACCCACCCTGTCTTCAGGCTTTCTTGGCTTACTGCTGCCTGCCCTGGGCATCCTTGTGTACTTGGAATTCTGAATGTGGCGTGTGTGCCATCTGCCATGGTCAGCCCAGCTCCGAGGACGCTCTCCATCCTGGGATGACCACACTTCCTTCCAGTTCCCTGCGGTTCCATCGCAAGTCCAACAAATCATACTTCAACTACCCAAACTGATTGACGACATGTGATGACTGAGGCATTCAGGAACCCCTTCATCCAAAAGAATCAACTTAAAAATATATATATATCAAATGATTTTTAACTCGTTCCGATATGCCTTATAAACCATTTAACCTGATTCTGGGACGGTTGCATGATTTAACCCAATGGGACAAGTTACAGTGTTCAATTCAATACCATAGGCTGTGGGGGTGGGAGGGGGAAGAGGCAAATCACCATACACAGGTGCTTTCAATTTAACCACAAGTTGTGACATAGCCTAGAGGTTGAAATGTTGATCGTACGTGGTAAATGTAAGAGTAATACAGTCTGTTATATTATCCTCTCTGTCTGGGGTCCTGCATAATTCTTAACTGCCCCAATCATTCATGGCATTTTGAGTTCTCTTGAACAAAACCAACAAAAAACAAAAAGAATGTAACAGAAACCTTTTCCCTTTGCTGAACAAGTTGAAAAATCTTGAATATCAAAAATCACATTTCAGAACTTAACTATCAGTATTTCTTCTTTTTTGATGTAATTTTCTAAATATTTGACATTTTTTCCAGAATCAGTGATAACTTTTCAGTTCATTATTTGATGATACAGTTCATGTGCCATCTGGAGATTGGTTTTTGTTGTTGTTGTTTACTTATATTCTACTCTGAAGTTATTTTGTGCTTTTCTTTTCATCAATATCAAACCATCAATATACAACATAGGGCCCCTATCTGGAATAGCGTCACCTTGCTGTATTTATTCATATGTGGAATGATGAATTTTGAGAAATAGAGTGCTTCCATTTTTTTAAATTGAAATGTGACAGTCTTTATATAGTTAGGAACAAATAAATGACAGTTAGTGAATATTAGAATGACAGAATAATATTCTAGTATCTTTGTTTTGTGCCTCATTCCTAAAGTAAAATCTTTCTTTATTGAAGGTACAGAATCAAGAAGTCGTCATCTGTAGGCTGAAAAAGCCACAGAATTTCTTTTATTAAAAATAACAAATTTGAAGCTCATTTCCCATTATAAGGCAATACTGAAAACTGGCTAAAAATACCAAACCAATACATTGTGTATGGTACTATGAAGAATATGCAGAAAAGGAAAGGCCAGGGAGAGACCGTTTTGTTGTCTGACAGTGTCTCCCAAGCATTGGTGCTTCAGGTTTTTATAAATTGTGAAAAGGAAAAATACACACACATTTTGTCATTCGCCATGGTGTGCATGGAAATGTGTTTGAGCGTGGATGAGGAAGAATTCGGGTAATAAAGAATTAGCTGGCTGGTGAAAGAGTGCAATATATGAGAGGTATAATCCTATTTTATTAGCACAACCTTGGGAGCTAATTAAAGATAGAGTTTATCTTTTTAGAAAGGATTACCTTATAGGTTCTTAAAAAAATATTTACAAGAAGCAAACTAGATCTTTTACAACTTCACCCCTTATCTTTAATTTGTATAATTTTTGTACTATAGAGCTATGTGTAAATGTTTCAGATCTTCCTTATGAAAAAAATCTCAATAAATATTTCATTTTCATTTACATATTTAACTCTTTGTTATAAAATGCCAACTTTTTAAAAATCCTTGAAATGGATGATTCCCACCGCCTCCCCACCCCCAGTGGAAGTAGGCCAACAATCCTAAATCATTGCCAGATTTCATTAAATAGTTAATTATTTGGAAAAGAAATGAATGACTTCATACTTTTGTGAAACAAATATTCTGGTAAAGCCTTCTGTACAAATGTTTGTGTTTTCATTGCTACATTTTGGGGTTTTCCTTTTACAAAGCAACCCACGTTGGGCATTTTTTAATATATAATCAACAATGACATCTTTTGCCAAGTGCATGCCTGCCTTTATTTTTTAATGTATGGTAATAAAGAGCAAAACTGGGTAGATTTTGCATGAGCTGGTTCAGAAAGGTAAGAAGAAAATAGATATTGGAGATCTAGTTTTAAGTTTCTGACAGATGAAATAGATTAAAATCTCTCATGCCCCGAACATGGATGCTTCCCATTTCCTTCACCCCATTGTGGAAAATTTGACTGGGACCATTAGTTTTCAACTGTTGTCGAACTAACCAATGTATCATATGCTTTAAGATGCAAGGTTCTTAATTAAACTTTATAGAGATAGAGACTCATCTATTGTTTCTTTGTATTCCAGGAAAGGTGATAGTAGTTTTATTTGATACTGATAAATATGGATTTTTTTAGTTATTTTTTATCATTTTTTTCCAATGGAGTAGTACAGGACCGTGGTTTGTCCTTTTTATGAATGAATACAAATTATAAAGAAATAAATGTCTTACTGTTGCCCAAAAGATAATAACTGTCCTTTCTTTTATTAAAAAAGTTATTGTTATTATAAAGGTGATATACAGAGGGATTACAATGACATGAATCAGGTAATGGGTACATTTCCTTTGGTACAGTATCTTCCATTCCCTCATTCTCTCCAAGTCCCTCCCTCCCATCTCCACCCACAAGTTGTATAGTTCACTTTCACCAGTGTCCGGTGAGTTCTACTGCTGTACTTTTTCATTCTTTTCCCTCAATTTCTGTGCCTTCTCACCACCCTCCCAAAGTCAGACACAGAAATATACATAAAGAAAACAGAACCATCAACAACTTTTTAAAAAAAAGAGAAATCTAGTTTCTATATCTTAGTGTTCATTTTGGCATATACAATATCATTATTTTTTTGTATTTATGTGATTCCAAGAAATCAAACCCTGTGCCGCATGCATTCTAGGCAAGCACTCTACCATTAAGTCATATTCCTTCCCTAATATATACATTATTTTATATACATATAAAAAGGCACACAGGCATTGAACCTTTGTGTTTCTTCCCTGAGAGTATCCTCTCTTGGTCTCACTGTATGTGAATGCCTAGAAACCTGTATAAATTATTATGTCCCAGTGTATTTTAGAGCTAACTTTCGTATATCAGAGAAAATGCACTGTTTGTCTCTCTGAGCTTGGTTTACCTCACTTAAGAAGATTTTTTACCAGGTCCATCCATTTCCCTGCAAATAATATTATTTTATTCTTTCTAATGGCTGTGTAAAATTCTATTGTGTATAAAGACCACAGTTTTTGGGTCCACTGACCTATTGTAGGGCTTCTGAGCTGTTTTCATAATTTGGCTGTTATGAATGGCATGGCAATGAACATAGATGTGCAAGTGTTTTTGTGGTATCTTGGCTCATGGTGTTCAGGGTAGATGCCCAGGAGTGGTATGGCTGGGTCATAGGGAAGATCTGTTTAGTTTCTTGAGGAACCTCCAGACTGCTGTCCAAAGTGGTCGTACTAGTTTACATTCTCACCAGCAGTGCAGTAGGTTCCTTTTTCCCCACATCCTGCCAACATTTGTTGTTGTTTGAATTTAAAATGTGGGCCAATGTAATTGGTGTGAGATGGTATGTCAGGATTGTTTTGATTTTCATTTCCTTGATAGCCAGGGATGATGAACATTTCCCCATGTCTAACTATGTCTTTAGCTGTGTAGAAACTTTTTATTTTAAAGTCTCTTGCCTATCTTCTCTGCCCTTGGGACTATTCAAAATGTTTCTATCTACACCTATGAGTTCTAGTGTTTCTCCTGCAATAATTTCAGTTTCAGGTCTGACATTGAGGTCTTTGATCCACTTGGAATTGATACTAGTACATGGTGACAAACAGAGATCCACTTTTACTTTTCTGCATATGCACAGTTTTTCCAGCACTTTTTTTTTTTTTGTCAATTGTGGGGCTTGAACTCAGGGCGTGGGTTCTGTTCCTGAGCTCTTTTGTTCAAGGCTAGCATTCAAACATTTTGAGCCACAGTAATTCTAGTTTTCCGGTGGTTAATTGGAAATAAGAATCTCGGGGCCTTTTCAGCCAGGGCTGGCTTTGGACTGTGATTTTCAGATCTCAGCCTTCTGAGTATCTAGGATTACATGTGTGAGCCACTAGTGCCCAGCCCCAACACTAATTATTGAACAGGTGATTTTTTTCAACAATCTGTCTGACTAATCAAATATCAGATGACTGTAAGTGTATGGTTTTATTTCTGAGTCTTCTAATCTGTTCTATTTATCTCCAGATCTATTTTTATGGCAAAATCAAGTTTGTATTACCTTTTTTTTTTGCCTAGAATTATTTAGCTATTGAGGTCTTTTGTTATCCTATGAAGTTTTGGGTTGTTTTCTTTATCTTAGTAAAGAATGCCATTTGGATTTCAATGGGAATGGAATTGATTTTGTAAACACCTTTTGGCAGTATGACCATTTTCACAATATTAATTCTTCCTATCCATGAACATGGAAGGTCTTTCTATTTTCTGGTGTCTTCTTTGATTTCTTCCTCCAAACTTTTATAGTTTTACTATAAAGATCTTGTATATCTTTGGTTAGCTTTATTCCTAAGTAATTTTTTTAGGCTATTGCAAATGGAGTTGTTTTCCTGATATCCCTTTTTGCATTGTTGGCACACAGAAAGGCTACTGCTTTTTGTGGGTTCATCTTATATCCTGCTACTTTGTCAAAGTGATTGATTAGCTCTAGGAAATGGGGTGGATACTTTTAGGTCCTTGAGGTATAAGATCATGTTATCCACAAAAAGGGATAGTTTGACTTTTTTTCATATGTGAATCACTTTTATGTCCTTTTCTTGCTTTATTTCTCTGGCCAAGAATTCCAGAACTATATAAAAAAAGAGTGGAGAGAGTGGGCATCCTTACCTTGTTCCTGATGTTAGGGGAAATGGTTTTGGTTTTCACCATTGAGTATGATGTTGGCTATTGGTCTGTCATATATAGCCTTTATTGTTTTAAGGAATGTTCCTTCTATTCCTAGCTTCTTTGGAGCTTTTAATATGAATAGATGTTAGATTTTGTAGAAGGCTTTTTAGATGATCATGTGGTTCTTGCCTTTGGCTCTGTGCACATGTACTGATTTACATATTTTAAACCAGCTTTACATTTGTGGGATGAAGCCTACTTGACCATAATGTATGATATTTTTGATTAGTTGCTGGTTTCTGTTGGCTAGTATTTTATTGAAAAGCTTTTCATCTATTTTCATCAGAAAAATTGATCTATAGTTGTCTTTTTTTGTTGGATCCTTACATGGTTGTGGGATGATTATGATGTTGGCTTCCTAGTTTGCATTTGGAATTGATCCTTCTGTTTCTATTTCACAGAAAAGTCTGATGTTGGGCTGGGAAGGTGGCTCAGTGGGAGAGCGCTTGCCTTGCATGCATGAGGCCCTGGGTTC